CAAGCTCCGACAAAGCGAAAGCGGCGAAAGTCAGCCTTGTTGCAATCTTGGTACATCGTTTAAGCCAGCGAATTCGCAATTAATTAAATTTTGTGTCACAATTGTTGGGACAGGTTCATCTATTATTCATCTTGCAATCAGCTTCGCCATCACTTCTTTTTTCAAATTGCAAATGCTCTCATGCCTCCATATTTTTGGGATTTTTTAATGAAAATGTTCCAATTTCCATTAAATTGGATTAAGGAGCTTAGCTTTTGACAAAGGAAAAGTATAGTGTAACCCTAAGTATAAATGCTTACAGTCAAACACTAAATCAAGTGTTTGTTTGTTTCGGCAGTTCATGAATGCACAGCTAGAATTTCATGTTCAACTTGTATTTTCATTCAGTAAAATACTTTATTATCTACAAAAAGATAAATAAAAAGAAGAAATAACCAGATGTTTTTTGGCTCACATGTAGTAAAAACTTTTATTTCGCGCAATAAAAAAGATGCCTATGTCTAATAAGGTTTTTTCTTGTCCAGATCATCAAATCTTTCCTGCTAATTTATATATTAAATACTTTACTTGTAATGCTCAAAAATTACCATTTGAGACACTATGTAGGTAATTTATAACCTGTTCTTTCCTATCGTACAATCCTTCGAGCAACTTCCCTTCGTTTCTTAGAAACATGTTATATGCAAAAATATTGGCTTATTATTGGTGTCGTATCAAATAAGCTTTTGCCGTTTTTTTACGTTAAATAAATTCTAAAAAAAGGGAGGCTTTGGCTACACGTTGTTTAATTGTCTTCTGACAGATTTCACATGGCATAGTCGGTGATTTTTGTCTTGCTGAATTAGGATTGTTTGAAAATACGAGGAGCTCGAAAATTGTTATAACTGAACCCTTTGGTCAATCGGATATGTTGAATGCCAAAAAACATATCCAAGACAGGGATCTTACTGTAGGAATACGGTAGGTATGGCTGCAAATGCAAAACCACAGAAACGTCTGGAAAGTGGTCAGCTGGGGTTTGATATGCCAACTGCGAATCATATCTGTTCCCAGTGGCAAAGCAAATTAGCGCAGTAGACATCAACTTGCTCAAATTTATCTTTTTGGGCCAATGTGATTTTTGCTTCCCCATCGTATCCTACCTTAATCGTAGAGTAAGGCCCTATTTGTGCGAGATAAAGATATTTTTCGTGATCAGCACGTCAATACGATCTTCAGGGATTTCACTCCTGAAAATGATCTTCGCGCTAAATATGCCCAGTTACCTCGACAGTAATCATTCTAAGCTTCTTCTTTTCTAAAAAATCGATTATGCTTTTTGGTCCTCCAAATCAACAGTCGCTCCATTTTAGCAAAAGGAAATCAATAGCTAAATTAGCAATGTTTTTCAGAGAGAATTCCTATCAAATGATATACAATTGTTGGCAAAAATTCTTATTAAACATTTCTTTGAGTTGAGTCAACAATCCACTACTATTCCTCTCTCTCTCTCATTCAGTTCCTTCCTTCGCTGAACAACACCCTTTTCCCAAGGGCTATTTCAAAATTGTTGTGAGGTGAAAATTCCGCCAGAGGCAGCATGAGGTAGCGGTAATTTGCCATGATATAGGTCGTGACATGCCTACACGCACATCTTTTTCATGCAGAACATTGCAATTAACCCTACAAGTATAGAATGACACTATTGTTAAGGCGATAAATGTTATAACACTCATTAACAGTTTGTCCTCTTCAATATGAGCTTTCCAACAACCTCAAAGTGCTTTTTTTTGTTTGAATTACAATTTCAATTTATGTTTCAGAATTCGTAGCCCACCTCCTGTGCCTCCGCCAAAGCCACTTAGCCGACCACAATCTCCAGCTATTGCTAAGGTAAGGAGCACCGCATGATTTTGAATTCCTTTAGAAATTTTTGGGAGTTTTCTTCAGCAAAAGAATTTTCGCTAATGTTTAGAAAGGCGTTTTCACTATTTGGCTTTTCATGAAAAATTTTAAATTCCTGACTCTTTATTATTCACATCTTTTCAAAGTTCTAGTATCGCTGTAGCCCTTGTTTCTGTGAAACTCTCTAAGGAACGCTAGTCTGTCCCATTCTCATCAAAAAAGAAGCTGGTCTTCAGCCTATACATAATT